TGTGCTCCAGACCCTTCACCACCTTCGTTGCCCTTCTCTGGACTCGCTCCAGCACCTCAAGGGCTTTCTTGTTGTGAGGGCCCCAAAACTGAACACAGCACTGGAGGTGCGGCCTCACCAGTGCCCAGTACAGAGGAAAAGCTCCCGGTTCTTTCCTGCTCCAGAGCTGCCCAGGGAGCAGAGTGTCCCTCCCAGAGCTCATGGCTCTCCCTGCCAGAGCTGGGACCTGTATCCCCATCTGACAAAGCCTGGCACACATTAGGCTCTCCCCAGCACCAACCCTTGGCGATCCAAGGCCTCCACGTCCTCCACCCGCATGCCAAAGATGAAGAGGTTTTCTTCGCCTGCCTCCTCAGCCATCTCCACATTGGCCCCATCCATGGTACCAATAGTGAGGGCCCCATTCACCATGAACTTCATGTTGCCGGTACCCGAGGCCTCCGTGCCAGCTGTGGAGATCTGCTGGGAGAGATCGGCTGCCGGGATCACTGCCGGGTGCAAGAGAGGTAGGAGTTAATCCTCGGCACGCTGCAGCTCCCCACAACCTGAGCCCAGGACGGCAAAACAACCCCAGGGGCATCTGCAAGTGGCCCTGCTGACCTCAGCCTCAGCCCAAACAGCGCGGCTCTGGGGCCAGAGCCAGGCTCAGCCCTGCTGCAACCCCATGCAGTCGCTGTCACTGGTGCGTGGAGCTGGCTTCCTGCCCTGCGTGGAGCCCTCAGGCCCTTCCTAAGGGAGAGCCAACTGACCTGCCATGACAGTCTCTGAGGCCAGCCCAGTTTCTGGGCTCAGCTGGGACTTGCCCCGCTCCTGACGTGTGCTTACACAAGACCAGACATACCCTTCTCAGCCAGGGATACTCGGTAGTTCTCCAGGAAGATGACCTTGAGCTTGTCCCCCACATAGGGATCGTTGTTGATGACCTCACCGATGGATGTGATGAGTTTGATGATCATCTTGGCCATGTGGTAGCCAGGGGCCGCCTGAAGAAGAGCAGCCCAGAAATGGTGAAAGCTTTTAAGGAAGAAAGAGCATGAGAGGTGCCAGTGCAGGTCCTCACCATGGGGAGAATCTGGGCCTCACCTCTGCTGTTCACATGGATCAGCAAAAACACCCTACTGGGAGGAAAAGTCCTGAGCTACAGGGAACAAGTGGTGGGGCCCTGTTCAGTCTGATTAGGCCATGAAGTTGTTTCCTGAATAGCCCACCAGCAGACGCATGCTGGCTAACCTACAGCAGGCCCAGCAAAGCCACAGAAAGGGGACAGCACCTTCCCCACATCCCCACCGAGCTATGCATGCACTGAGGTTGGGACGCACATTACCTTTCCTCCGATCATAATAGTCCTAGGCACAAAGGATTTGGATGGATCGCTTCTGATGCCTGAAAGAGCAGGGCATAACACAACCGAAGTGAAGACACACAGGCCAGAGTTTATTGTGGGCTGGGATCCCAGCGTGTGTCACGTGGACCCAGCAAACTTGCAGGACCCTGAAGCCCAACCAGACATCTGCCAGAGCTGTGCTAGGCAAAAATGGGCTGCAAAGTCATAGAATCATAATTATAGAATGGTTTGGTTGGAAGGGCCCTTAAAGACCATCTAGTTCCAAACCCCTGCCATGGGGAGGGACACCTTCCACTAGACCAGACCACTGCTTTCCCTCAGAGCTCTGTACGACCCTTCAGACACCCTGCTGGTACACTTTTACATGGGAACCCTGGCACTGAAGGCTGGGGCCGGGGGGACACCCCTTGCCTACCAGCCCAGGCAGGACTTACGGTTGTAGAGGGTGATAGCATGCAGGCAGTTCAGCAGTTGCCGCTTGTACTCATGGATTCGCTTGACCTGAACATCAAACATGGACGAAGGGTTGATCTTGACCTTGTACTGCTCCTCCAAGTAGGCTGCAAACTTCAGCTTGTTCTCCTGGCAAGAAAAATCTGATGAGGAAAAGGCATGGCTTCCCAGGCCTTGTGTGTGAAGTGTGCATTCAGTGCTGGGATGTTCCTGGGAGCGTGGTGCCTTTAGCCTTCTTCCCTCCACCCCACCTCCAGTGCACATTACCTGTTTGACTTTCGCCACATCCCTGATAAAAGTCTCATTATTGATGAAATTCAGTAGCTTCTTCAGCTGGCTCAGATCTGTGATAAAGCCTTCCCCAATTTTCTAAAAGAACAAACCAAGAGAGGGATGTCCCACCCGTGCGACACTTCACCCAGTCCACAACTGCACTTCCCCAACACAGATCACAGAAGCACAGAATGGTTTGAGTTGGAAGGGACCTTAAAGATCATCTGGTTCCAACCCCCCTGGCATGGGCAGGGACACGTTCCACCAGACCAGGTTGCTCACAGCCCCCACCCACCGGGCCTTTGAACACTCCCAGGGGTGGGCCAGCCACAGCTGCTCTGGGCAACCTCTGCCACTGCCTCACCACCCTCACCGGGAAGAATTTCTTCCTCATATCTCATCTAAACCTTCCCTCTTCCAGTTTAAAGCCATTGCCCCTTGCCCTATCACGCCCTATCCTTGAACAAAGTCCCTCCCCAGCTTTCTTGTAGGCCCCTTTAGGCACTGGAAGGCTGCTGTAAGGTCTGCCCAGAGCCTTCTCTTCTCCAGGCTGAACAACCCCAACTCTCTCAGCCTGTCCTCACAGGAGAGGTGCTCCAGCCCTCGGATCATCTTTGTGGCCTCCTCTGGACTTGCTCCAACAGGTCCATGGCCCTCCTGTGTTGGGGGCCCCAGAGCTGAAGGCAGATGTCACAGTTCCGTTGGGAACTGGAAGAGGCACTCTGGCCAGGAAAAGGGGCACAGCTTCTTATGGCAAGGTTACTTCTCGGTGTCATCAAGGACCCCAAAGGTACAGGGGAAGCAGGGCACTTGCAAAAACCTGAACAAATCCCTCTCTCTCAAGGAGCTTTAGAGGGAGGATTCATGCACATGTACCAGGGCCTCCTGGCCACTGGAGAAACTGGCGGGCAGGACATTAAAATACATTTAAATGCATGCAACTGGCATGTTGCAATGTGAAGCAAAACCCTCTGCTAAAGGGCCTGGTAAACAAAGGAGACAGAACTGGGGCTGGAGCTCCAAGGGAGCTCCTTTGTGCCTGCGAAGCTGAATGCTTTGGCAGACACTCCACTTCACACACCATGGTACTGCCCGACAGGTTGTGTGTCACCACTGCTAGGGCAGGGAACCAAATCCAAATTTCAGCAACTTTTTTGCCCCACTCTTCATCACCGACATTAAAGCCCAGCCAATCTCACACCTACATGTGGAACAGGTGTGCTCCTCCCAGGCTGTCCTCACTCACACCCACCTCAGGTCTGATGAGACCCCACGAAGCGGTCATCAGAAGCAAAGCGATCACGCTCAGCCCCTGACTTCAGATGCTTGCGGCTCACCTCAGCAATAACGTCGGCCAGTCCCGGGTTGCAGAGCAGGAGCCAGCGCCTCGGCGTGATCCCGTTTGTCTTGTTCTGAAACTTCTCCGGCTCCAGCTCATAGAAATCCTTGAACCTGGAAGACCAGAGAGCTCTGAACCACCCACCACCACCCAGAGCTTCAGGTGGGCCCCCACTGCATGTGCTCTTGACTCAGGGCAATCTCTGTGCATCTCCCTGTAACAAGCGTGAACTCTCTACGCCTGCTTCTCATCCTCTTCCTCATGCCGAGGGTTTCACCACCTTCAAAGGGAGACGAGTTAGACCTTCCACGCACACGAATGAGACCATCTCCCCAGCCTGCCATGCCCAGCAAGGCAACCAAAGCAGACCTTGACACCTGATTGCTCCAGCTAGCCCCCAAGGCTTGCAGACAAAGCCTAGCGAGTGGAGAGGGTGCGTTGCTTTGGGTGTTCCCCAACTCACACTGAATTCTTCACAATGTCTGAGTGGATACGGGCCACGCCGTTGACCGCATGGGAGCCAATGACGCAGAGGTGTGCCATGTTAATACGTTTGCAGTCTCCTTCCTCGATCACCGACATCCTCCGGAGACGGTCAATGTCCCCTGGGTAGAGAGCTGCCACCCGCTGCAGGCAGGCAGAAAGAGGGACATTAGTGACCCCGCCGTAAGACCTAGGAACATTCCCATCCTAAAGGCAGCCAGACCAAGACCCCCGCAAGAGCTCCCACAGCCTGTGACCAGCCCAGTTCCTTACGTCCAGATGCATTTGGTTGAGGGCGTAAATGATCTCTAGGTGCCGTGGCAGCAGCTTTTCAAACATGGAGACCGGCCAGCGCTCCAAGGCTTCAGGCAGCACAGTGTGGTTGGTGTAGGCGCAGGTCCGTTTCGTGATCTCCCAGGCCTGCGTTACAGACAGCAGGTTAACACCCATGTGCCCAGGCCAGGAAGGGAAAGGAAACCCCAGGTGAGGACAGGACAGCAACTTTTTCCCTTGCAAGGTTCGGCATGGACCTCCCAGCTCTGCTTACCTTCTCCCAGTCCACTTTCTCCACATCCACCAGGATCCGCATGAGCTCTGGGATGGACAGGGCAGGGTGGGTGTCGTTTAGCTGAATAGCAACCTGCAACACAGACTTGCTGGGCTCAGATCTGGCAGGGATAGGACTGTGAGAG